CCACTATCAATACAGGCTGGGGGGTGAGGGGATTGAGAGCAGCCCTGCCGAGAAGAACTTGGGGGGGCTGGTCAATGAAAAGCTGAATGTGAGCCACCAATGTGTGCTTGCAGCCCAGAAAGCCAACCGTATCCTGGGCTGCATCAAGAGAAGTGTGGCCAGCACGTCAAGAGAGGGGATTCTGCCCCTCTGCTCTGGTGAGACCCCACCTGGAGTCCTGTGTCCAGCTCTGGAGCCCCCAGCACAAGAAGGACATGGACCTGTTGGAGTGGGTCCAGAGGAGGCCACAAAGATGATCCAAGGGCTGGAGCACCTCTCCTGTGAGGAAAGGCTGAGAGAGTTGAGGCTGTTCAGCCTGGAGAAGAGAAGGCTCCGGGGAGACCTTAGAGCAGCCTTCCAGCACTTAAAGGGGGTCTATAGGAAAGACGGGGAAAATATTTTCAGCAGGGCTTGTGATAGGGCAAGGAGTAACAACTTTAAACTAAGGGAGGGTAGATTTAGACTAGATATGAGGAAGAAATTTTTTACCATAAGGGTGGTGAAACACTGGAATGATTGCCCAGAGAAGTAGTGGAGGCCCCATCCCTGGAAACATTCAAGGCCAGGTTGGACGAGGCTCTGAGCAACCTGGTCTCGTTGCAGATATCCCTGCTCATTGCAGGGGTGTTGGGCTGGATGACCTCTAAAGGTCCCTTTCCAACCCAAAGCATTCTATGATTCTATGAATTTAATTTAGGGAGAATTTGGTCCCAAGCATGTATTCATCCATATTCACTTTGTTTTTAATGATACAATGAAGTTCTTCAGATGCACCTCTGCCTAACAGCAGGTTTTATGTAGCTAAGGAAGGAAGATATATTCCTTCACTATGAATACATTAAGGAATCTACAGACAAACGTGTTCTGCTCCATGTGGTAGTCACTTTCTCTGAAAGGATGCAACTTCTGGCAGTTTATGAGAAGATGGACCAGTCTACACCACTTTTTAATTAAGATCTTAGTCATGTCCAAACAGAACACTTACGTATTCACATTTATATCCACTAAGTAAAGCACCAGATTTTCTGACTGCTGAAACTATCCAGTATCAACAACCCACACTCACTTTTCACCTACTCCCTTGAAAATTTTAGTTGCTAAGGTGTTTTCCTAACAGAGAAGCTGCAGAGAAATGCTCGCTGCAAAAGAGAGACATACAGTTGTAAAAGCTTTATTTAGATTGTCTCTCACACCTTCCCAGGAATGACTCCATATAACTGCCTGAGATCAAATGATCTGCAGCTATCAACTTGTCTCTCACTGAAGGCTACCTTAGCAATTCAGTGTATTACACTTCCTATTCAAAATCAATTTTTATTGGACCAAGTAGTATATTCTTTTATAGATATACAAACCCAACACTTTCTGGAGTTGGTAGACTGTGAAAAATAGCCTTAAACGGTTTCCCAGTTTCCACTTTTACATCTGCTACGAGGTAAACATTATGAACGGGAACATGCCTAAGGAATATACAGTACAGTTATAACTATACATGTGGTATGACCTTCTGCTGTGCACTGCATGATTTAAATGAAAAGTATTCAGGTAAATAGACCTAACATGAAAAGTATACCATATATTGTAATCTTCCTTAAGGATGAAATACAGTAATGGAGATTAATGTACAAATTCTCCATAGTTCAGTGGTGATGCTGTGAAAGTCACTTTTAGAACTGACTAGTGTGAGTTTTGACACACGTGAATCAATGGAATTGGTAAAAGTGGAAATCTACAGAAATGATAAAACAAATGTCCTTCCTGCTCTGCCTTACAGTGCAAGTACACATACACCATGGCTCCACAGGCCTGACCTGTACATCCCTGCCATTCCATTCTCAGACCTTTTTGGATCAGAGACTATCAGCTCTGCCAAACTTCACGACAATCCTGTGACCTGAACTTTCTCTTTCCAATAGTATGTAGGAGAAGGATGCCTAAATCCTCATGACTTGTAATCCAAGCTGGATTTGGATCCATCAAGCATTTCTGCGTGGGTCAGCTCCACTAATCTTTAAAGGGAGTGGAGAGCAACTGTTTTCAGGTCATTTTCTAAGGGCAACATGAATTATCTTCCACCAAAAAGAAGAACAAAATTATAGATGATAATAAAATTTGTTATAAAACTGGAATCCAAAGCAGTGAAGTTAGCAAAAGATGCAGCAGACATAATATGGAAATAGGATATAAAATGCTGTAGTTAGTGACATGGCAGAGATTCTGTGGTGAGACTGTGAGAAGTTCTCTCCATTTGTCTGCAGTAATTCCCTGCTGTACTACCTGGAAAAAAGTCAGTCTTCGGGGAGAAATGTAGTTAAAAAATGTTTGCCAAGATTAGTATTTTCTAATGGGATTAAGAAATGGTTCGAATACACAGGTGCTGGCCAGCCTGTCTTTTCTGCCTGTATTATATCCTGCTGCTAAGAAGCCTTTGGATTTCAATGAACATTAAAGGTTCTTAACTCACAATGAGGCCTCTCTGGGCACCCAAAAGCTTCTCAAGCGCTGTTGTATTCTCTATGTTCTCCCATCCTTACACTTACTGAGACAAAGTTGCCAAAGAATTTTTCTGGGCAGTACGACTCAAATAAGAAGCTATTTTTACTGCGTGTTTTTTGCTGATATATTCTCTAGTGGTATAATGAAACAATGTTCTTGTCCTGCATGTGCAAGGGATGTTTGTAGTGCAGAATCATTTTATGTTTTTCCAGAAGGCATCATTTGTGGTATGCTCTCAATAAGTTTTGCAAAGCTATTTTGTGTTAGAGAAAAATAACTTGTTCTTAAAAATAATATAAAGAAATAGAGTTAAGGATTACTTAATTTATCTTATTGTCCACACAGTTTTTCTGAAGCAATTCCTTATCAAAAGACTTTCCTTATGTATCCGGAACATTTCAGATATCCACATATCCAGTTTCATTGTCACTAATGCTAACACTCAAATCCATACACACCTTGTCTTCATACTTCCCGTTAGCTTCTTGTAATTCAGAATGCAGCTGAGAAACTGTAGATTCCATGTGACTACCTTGATGTGCATGCACTGAATTCTGGTTTCTTGCTTGTTGTCTAAGAAAAGTTTTAGGTGGAGAAATTAGAAACTGTAAGAACCATGAAAGCATGAAACATTTGTGGTTGTTTTCCCTGCAATCAGTATGACCACTGAAACTTACTGCTCTGAAGTATGATTATCATTCACAGTGGGATCACACAAAAATTACACCTCCTTACTGGTGAGATTTGCTCTCTGATATCTATCTCACATAAAATTACATAAATTGAAATCTTGAAGCTAAGTCTGCTTTCAAATGCACTCCAACTATTCTACAAGCAGAACTGAGAAGCATTTTGCTATCAGCTACTCAGTCTCCACTATACAAGTCAGATAATAATTCACACTGATATTTAAATCTCAAGTTTGCAATACTGCATGGCATGTCCTCATTTTTTAGCTGATATATTGAGCACTCAATTCTGAGTCATCAAGTGGCCAGTGAGAACTAGCGTCTTATTATTCTCACTCAATTGTTACCGAAGTTAACGGTACCAACATAGCTATTTATCCCAAATAAAAATTACTCTTTCTTTAAAATTACCATTCATTACTATTTGTACATGTATGCAAACGACCCAACTGTCTACCCATTCTTGTTTATGATTCAACTGGTAACACTGCTGGAAATTCATTTTGTATCCGAATCCATACAACATTTAGAAGGCAAAGGTCAGAGTGCAATGCAGTCACCTGAAACTGCACTCAGCCACAGCTCTTAGCCTACATACTCTTTCATCCCTTAACCTTAGCCAGGCCCTCTGCAAAAACTGTTCACAACTCAGTTAGCAGAGATTCATCATTCCAAAAGCTGGTAACAAGAACAGAGCTGATGGCTGGAGCCAGTCTGAACATCCACTGACTTTGCTGACCTTACTCTTCTTCTGAACCGCAGCAATCTGAGAGAGAACCAGCCCGAATCTCCCGATTCTCAGAGTTTGCCTAATGCACGGCTGTTTTGCCTCTCCTCTGTACAGCGTGGTTTAACGTGGTTTTTTTGGTTTTCCTTTTTTTTCATTCCATAATTTATGCAAGGACTGCTTAACTCTTTAAACAAAGACATTAAGAAACCAAAAGCGTAGGGCAGAGAGTAGAGTATACTAGCAGCATAAGCTTTCTCTCAAATTAAGGTTACTCTTAATATTTCTATACTATAATAAAAAAACACACCGAATGATCTTCATCTGGCTTTGGATACTATTTGTGTAGCTGCCTGCCCTGTTGGCTTTATCAGTTAGTGCTGCCACCTCCTGTTCATGCTCACTTGTTAGCTGCTCAATCCTGTTTCAGAAAGAAAATACTGGTTATAATTTCAGTCTTGGCAAATAATAACTTCTCCACTGAAGAGGTAATAATATTTTTCAGTAGTCAGAAATGTAACCATTTGATGTTCTATTGGGAATGACATACTATGTATCAAGTTACTGACCCTTTTATTTTGAACAGGTTACTGTATAATTCAGGTGGAAAGCTGGGCAAATTAGGACTTCTTGAACAAGGAAGGAAAAAGCTCTTAGTGAAATTAGTAAGAAAAAGCTGATGTAACCACCAAAGTGGTTACTATCAATCTTTTAACGGTGGAACTAGTCTCCCAACAAATTCTAGAAGTCCACCTAAGTAACCAATCACACTTACAAAAGTAAGGTGTACAGATTCTTCCAAAATAATACTTTTTGGGGGCAGCGAATAAAACAGGAAATTGCCAGCATGGAATTAAAAAGCAGCAGAAAGAAACTAAACATCTGGAACGGAACTATTATCAGGTCCTCAAAAACATAACTTTCTGCCCCCCAGCCACTCCTCCCCCCAGAATTATCATCATCATCATCATCATCATCAAAGAATTATCTGTGGAAAGTGAAAAAACATCTATTTATGGTTTATGAATAAATCAATGGAGAACAGGTACCTATTTTGGTGTTGCTGAAGCAGAAACTTGGTTTGGGCCTGCGAATCTTTTTTCAATGACTCAAGTTCCTCTTCCACCTGTTGTAAATAGATGACGTTAACCTCTGAAGAAAAGATGGTCTAAACAGTAGTTTTCAACGTGTAACTTCCTTCCTTTTGCTTTGAACTGTGAAAAAGTGCACAATACAAGTTGAACTCCAGCAACAAACCCAGTCTCAAGTTGAGGACAATGTAAAAGGCTGACATACCAGCACCTGCCACCTTAACTGCATTTGTACCTCTTCATGCCATCACCATAGGCCAGTTTACATGGGAGCTCACGGAGTTTTCAAAAATATTTTCTAAACAACAGAATGCAGAGTGTTGGAAGGAAAAGCAGCACTTTCTTCACATACCAGGATAACCTTTTCTTTGAGGTATGACACCTCTGAGTCTAAATCTTGCAGGACGTCAGCAAATGCTGTGCTCAGGTTGTGGATTTGTAGGCTAGAAATATTCCCATGCTCACAGAGTTTCTTGCCTGTGCTGTCTTCGTAGTCCACTAGGATGCCATGTAGTTCCAAAAGTACTTCCTCATGGCTGTGTACCTTCTTTTTCAGATGCTCAGTTTGGCTGTCAGCCTCCCTCAGCATCTCCTCCTGCAGCTGGTTGGCAGCTTCCAGCTCTTGAATAGTATTTTTTAGCTGTATTTTTACATTCTCTTGGATCTGGGATTCCTTTTGTCTGAATTTGGAAACCAAAGCAATAATTTTAAAAACAAGATTCACAACACAGATTTTTATCCTGACTAATCAACTAATATGTTGATTAACTGCTAGTTTTTACAATTACATAATAAGCCATTTTCTAAACCACAGTACTGTAGTCTCATAGTCTTCATTCCTGAGGGCAAGTTTCTCACTTCAATGATCTGGTGTGCCTCTCAAAGCCCACATATAAACTCTCCATAACACATCTGTCTTGGCCTTCATACCTGGTATCCTGAAGCGCATCTCTTTCCAATTGCACTTCCATCAGTTTGGTCTGCAATTCAGCAACGATCAGTCTTAAATTTCTTTTCTGTTGCTCATGTAGCTGAGTGGTCTAAAGGAGGAAAACCCAAACAACCAAGATAAACCAACCAAAACACTGAATACATAACCTAAAAAAATGAGGCTGAAAGCAGCATAGGTATGGGAATTAACAGGTTACTTTTGTTTATTTTCTTTTTTTTTTAAATAGTTCTTAGTTAACCAGCTAGTCACACTGTGCTGCAGTGGACTGACTCTGCGTGGAACACCGTTACAGGGATCGTGCCAACAACATTATTGCCCATTGCCTATTTCAGTCTGTGAAATGACACATGGAAATCATGATGGCCAAGTACAATATACAGCAGCCAAGTGACTGCTCAAAATAGCACTGGCGAAACTGTCCAAAGACTCAGCAATGACAAAAACAACAAAAGCACATCTATACTTAAGAAGCTGCCCCAAATTTGCAACTCACTTCATTCAGCCTCTTCTGCACATCTCTACCTTTGTGCAAGTATTCTTTCAGAACGTTTTCCACGTGTTCTTCACCAGCACCACTCACGTTTTCTTTCTCAGAATCAGTATGTATTTCATATTTGAAACAGAAGACACTACTGGGTGGACTGCTACCAATACTAGAAGAGGCTGAGTTTTCCACCACTGTGCTGAGAATGGAAGAAGGTAAAACATTCTGGTTGCAGAGAAATTGGCTAGCAGCACCTGAAAGGCAGATAAATTGAAGTTTTGAAACAAGAGACGTTACATGAGAATAAGCAGTCATCTGTACAAAGTGGCCATTAGTGTCTCTCAGTGCCAATGTATCAATAGTCAAACCTAGGAATTGTCTTTTCTAAAGACAACAAACCCAGCCAATTCTAGGGTGCCACACTGAGTGGGGAATGCCACAGCATTCAGAGAACACTTCAGAACTGCTCTGCCTTTACCTTGGGCTTGTGTCAACAAGCACTGTTCAAGATGCAGGGCCTAAAGAGGATTCAACCTAGAATACGAACTTATGAGCACCCTTCTAACTCACATAAGTCTGCAATGTTTATAGTGATTTACTTCCAAATCTTGTTCTGAAATCTGTTTAATTAATACTTGCCCATGCTAGGCATATTGCCACTTGGTAAAGATTCCTCATGACTCAAAAAACGCCTCATTGATTCCACTGGGAATTTGGTGGCTTCTTCGTGGACTTTCAGAGCCTCTTTTGTTTGTCTTTCCAGTGCCTCCCTGCAGAACAGCACATAGAAACATTTGCTGAAAAGGCAAGGCTTAATACAGAAGAGTATCCAAGTGCACTGTGTCACAAATGCAAATTGAAATGAGTAACTGAAAAGAGAAGTGAAACCAAAGAATTTATTAAGTAACGCTGCTGTATTTTCCTGGTTTGCACTTATATTTGGCAACACAGTGCCACATCTTCAACTGCTGCAGCTCCACTGTAGTCAACTGAATCATCGTATTTTTCCATTAGCAGGCATAATGTATAAAAGTCCAAACAAGTAAAATAACACTTCATCAAATAAACAGAACCAAATTGGTTCATCTTCTGAAAAGGAAGGGATTTCCTTTTATTTCCACATTTTTTCTCCTAGCTGGCCAGTAAAATGTTACCTTACTGACACAAAACTGTAACTGCATGGTCAATGAAACCCACAGAAATCTGTCAAATACTTCATTTGCAGGCATAATAAGAAACATCTCAGAAAACTTGTATGATCAGAGAAGTGTTTGGTTATATAAAACCTCAAGCACAGAAGAAAGGAAACCTGTGTGGATTCACAGCATCTTATTTTATTGGAATTGACCAGGCAACAGTTCGTTTCCTACATTCCTGGGGCAGAGGGAATGTGTGTGTGCAAAGAAAGTAGAAAAGTAAGAGAAAGAAAAAAAAAAAAAGCAGGGGCAAAAGGAATTTTTCTGACCAAAAGAGAAGAAATCCAGTCTAACTGAGAGTAATAGGGAAGTTTTGGCAGTTCACCTATAAGCTGTAAATAAAAGAAAGTTGAGAAGAAACATGAAGGAAAAAGTTGAGGGACAAAGAGGAATATGAAATTACAGGAAAATATTATAAGTGGCAAGTCCACAGGTTGGAAGGAGGAATATGAGACCAGCAAGAAGAGCAGCCCCCTGTCACTTGGCATCAGTATTGTTGTGTGTGCATAGCAAGACTGTGACACTCACAAATGACCCAATTACAACATGCACAGTTCATTTCTGTCCATGCAACTTTTTTTTCCACAACACAAGTCCCTGTGTCTGTGCAATGCACTTGTTATGCCGCCTCTCTGCATCTGTATTAATGAATTCTGATAAACCTGAATTTTCATTCTGTAATATTAGTGACAAAAAAGATTAGAGGACACAGATGCAAACAGAGCTGCAGAGCATGGGGAAAAACATCCTAAGGAGTCTGTTACCCTGAAAGTCAGGAGAAGGGGCATCAGCTACAGGCAAGGGTGAGGTTCTGTCAACACTGCCCTGTTATTATGAAGTATAAACTAAATGCATGAACAGGTTAAAAGAATGACTAGACAAATCCCCAGGACTAATAAATTTGACACTTGGGACAGACATTCAGATTCAGTAAGCATTTACATCCTAATTCCCTGGACACTGAGACTGAGGTACACTAAGCAAAAGTGTCACTTTTTCCTGACCATTTTTCTATGCTTCTCCCACTACATACTGTTGCAGTAAGCACAGTGGTGAGATGACACTTTGGTTTGAATAATAGTAGGCAGAATCCTGGACTCCTGAAAATTCATTATCAAAGGGCAGTACTACATCCTGCTGTTTATGCAGAAATCCCATTGCCAGCAGGAAGAACTCGCTCCACTATGGATAGAAATTCAGCTATTATCCTGGCACACAAATTACAATGATCAGTGAAATTCATCCTTCACTTTAGAGTGCCTTGGGCACCCATATCCTTAAATTTTGTGTTCACATCTTTCCTGTCACATTAGTAAAACCGACTACACCTCAGGAATCTGTTGGCTTCCATTTTCAGTGAGTGTGCTATTTCCTGTAACAACAGGTAGCAGCTACAGGAATTTCTCTAATAACAAACAAAACCTGTGTACTACCTTAGTTCCTGGATATTCTTGCTCATTGTAACACCACCTGTGAATAAACAGATCGGTCCTTATTTTCTAATGTATTAAAAATCAACTTTATGTAATAAAAAATGATTTTTGCCCATCTAATTTTACTAATGCAGAAGGAGTTAGAGGATATTGAGGGAGATAGTTTCTCTCCTTTTATAGTCTTATGCTTTGTCTCATCAGGATGAACCCAGATGCAGGCTTTTAGAAGCACCTTTTAGCATCACCTATTATGTTTGGCAACAACAATCAAATGGCAAACTATAAACATTACCACTTTCCTACAATGTTTCCAGATACAGAGTTTTTCTACAAGAAACACTGAAGATTAAATTTCTATAAATGTCTGCCTTGATCTCACCTGCAAATGTCACCTATCCCAACCTGCTTGAATAAAGCCAAATGGACTCCTTCCTCACAAGAGTGCTTTTGGAGATAAGCCCAGAAGAAAAACTGAAGCCTGGGGTGAGCCCAAGATGGGCAAGTCTAGACTTGTATGTCCTGAATTTTGAGAGCGTGATTGCTATTAGCAGTCCTTGGGGTCTGTGAACCTTTTCCTTGGGGGCAGGGCGGGGGGAGAGATATGAAGGAAAATTTATCACTTGGGTAGTTCTGAGCCGGATGGTATTTGATGGGGTTTTATTTGCATTATTTGGTTTTTCCTCCTTGAGTGGGTCCTCTGGAAGACATGGGACCACACTGCAAGTCAAGAGGTAGCTACAGTAGCAGTTTCCATACCATGCATAATTCGACACCTTCAGTATGCCAATCTGACTGAAAAAGACCCCCGCGGGTGCTTCTTAAGGGCACGTGATAGAGAAAAGTGGAGCCTTTTATCTCAGACCCCAATCCCTAGTACGCGAAATGCTTCCTTAATGCGAAAGCATTGTCCTTCGACCCTCACGTAGCAGGCCCTGAAAATTCAACAGTGCCACGACGACAGGGCCATTTCTCCCAAAGCAGGACGGACCCTGTCACTCGCCAGCCCGCGTTTTCCATGCGGCGAAGGAGGGCGAGGCCGGCTGCAGATCACTCGGCCGCACGCCGACAAAATGTCCGCCCCATGCGGCCACCTGCCTTTTCATG